CAGGATCCACAACCATTTTCAGCGCAGCTCGAAACTAAACGTTAACGTTAGATAGATTAACCTCATATTTCCGCGTAACTAAAGTCTGTGCTCTGTACCTGTTCATGAGTAAGCCTTGGAGACTGTTCCTGTTGTTGGAGAGGTAGCGGGGCCGATCCTTCCTTGAAAATTTCTGAAACTCTCTCCGTCTTCGGAACAATATATTCTTCTGGCACAACGGACAGTTCTGGAGCCCGAAATTTACCTTTAAAATTGTAAAGACATTTTTCAGACACAGGGAGAGTGCCGATTTTCCCTGTACATGTCCCTTTGCCTGAAATTGCAGCATTCACCATTTGAGCACAAAATGTATTTTGCCTAAATACTCACACCTTTAGCAACAGAGTAATACTCAGAATGATCTCGCTGGTCATCATTTATGAGCTTATAAGGCTTGTGTATTTCGCTGTAATTCACTGGCGGTCGTTCCTGGCGTAATGAGTTGCTTCGAGCCACGCTCAGTGGAGCCACTTTTTCCAAAACATTTTTTGCACCTCTTTCACCCCCTACCTCATTACCTTCACTTCCATTCGCGTAGGCGTCCCCCCGAACGATTACCTACAACAGAAAAATTATCTCCAACCGTTAATTAAAGTTCATTTCAGACAAAAACAGTTTGAGGTTTAAAAACAACGACGAAAATGAGATAATTAGTACAATGGAATTGCAAACTTAGCGTCAACATCTCCTTTGCACCCGCTAGCCAAGCAGGGATGGATATATTATGCTAAAAAATCTATTTATTTTGCATGATACTGCTTGTGTTGTCGGGTATCTTAGAGATTCAAATATAAGCTTTACTAATCATACCGTTTCCTTTACCTAAAATGTCTGACAGAAAAGTTCAAGTATCATGCAAACTAAACAAAAACTTGATAACATAAAATAATAGTTCAGTAGTTCTAGGGAAAGCAATAGAAAGACGGTAGCCTTCCTCAGAAGTCAACGCTGCAGCCTGACTACACTGGTCATCCTAATGGAAAATTATGAGACAACCCGAGCAGGAGCATAGAAAGTGAGAGTCACAATGGACTCAAAGAAATATGACAGACGGATCAAGAAATCAAATGCGGCAATTAAATCAATGTGCACTTGTGTTTGTTGAGATCGATATATGGAAGTCAGCTATGACAAATAAGCAGTCGCGAACAGGCAGCGGTGACCATCAGGGTGTGGTTAGGTTCGAGCTCGACAAGTTCCATCCTCAGAGAAAAGGTCAGAATACACTATCGCGGTCTCACGTGGAGGCAAAACCGATGAGCTGCTTTGAAAAAAAATATGCTGCTAATAATACCGCTGCCAGAGGTGATACATCTGTTATCAAAGACAACTGTGATAAAAAATGGACGGAATTGGAGGACCAGCCCAGACGATACGGAATTTTTCAGGTCATTTTCAGCCCTGCCAACAGGTGGCAAAACTTCATGCGCTCTGACAACGAAAAATGCTGCGATCGACACGATTCCTCGCTCAATACCAATCGGTTCAGGTGATCCAGGTGAATTTACTAGGAGAATGTACTAATCTGCTGTGCAATTAAGTAATAAAATCACTCCAGTAAATCTAACCAGCTTCGCTCATCCCTGCAAGTGCTATCTACACAAGAATACCACAGGCGGGATTCCACTGAGCCGCGGTTGGCTGAAAGGGCATCTCAAGTAATTTGAAGCAAGGAGACGGTGCAACAGGCTAAACCAGGTTTTGGAACAGTTAAACGGTAGCAAAAAAACAATAGCAGTTCCTGAGACGTCGCTGTTGAAAATATGGACACAGTGTAGTACGTCACGAAATCTGGCTTTGGATGTATTATTACGCTTAATATACTGTGACTACGAACTGTGATGGTAATGAATCAACTGCACGTCTCTAAAATCTAAGATATCCGTCGTTATCTTTATTAGAAGGTAAATTTCTCATAATGGAAAGATGATTCTCTGATCAGGAGCGAAGCTAATTTAGCTGAAACGTTGGAATCGCTGTAAATAAAACGATTTTTCCTGTTTTGTCGTACTGCCAACCATGGAATTATAAGACCTGTAACCTTCACGTCACCTACGGCATGAACCTTAGAAATTATTTAAACTGTTCAAGTGGAATCTTACTGAACCGCTATGTGGCACTGAACTCCTCTGTAGCCGGATTGAGGTATTAGCTGAGGAAGAAAAAGGGTTGCAGAATTCTGCCTAGGTAAGGTCAGTAATCCTATGTTCCGTCTCCAATACAAACAATATTTCATAAGAAGGTTGACTGTCTCATCGTCAGTAGTCTCATGTTCCGTCTCCGATACAAAAAAATATCTCATAAAAAGGTAGACTGACTCATCTGACTTCACAAACAAGAGAAAGAACAACCGAGAGCTACAGCTAGAACATCATAAAATCTATTACGAATAGTCAAAATGCCACATCAGCAAAAAATAAGTTTGTTTAGAGTCTTTTACCGAAAAAAAGTACTTAAAAATACTCAGTCAATGTAAAGCAACCTTCGTCTGTCATGAAGTGATATAATTAAAATATGCAAAAACAAAATAAGCTAACATAAATTGCCAAGTCGAAGTGGATTTTCAACTATAGTAAATGGGGAGCAACAGAGTAAACCTGCACTCCTTAAGAGTACTTTAATGAATTTCGAAGTCGTTCAACAACAACAAAAAACAAATGCAGCAAGTGACATGCGACAACCGGAAGGGAAAATATCGTCAGTGGCAGTTTGGAACGATGTAAAAAGCGCTCAATCAACTATCATCTACGCTGGCGAATTTCTCAGACTGATTCTTATTCAGAAAAAATCGCACCGCTTTTACTCCACTATAACAGATCAGCAGCAAACATCATTTTTTTAATAAGAGTCACAAAACAGAAACTAGATTAACGCAGTTTTCGATCAATAACATTCATTGAATGACTGTTTTTTTATGTATAGTGACAAAATTGAAACACAAAACAGAAAACAAGGAAAGAAATAACCATAATCCTTGAAAAATAACATTTATCATAAATTATACCATATATTTATTGAGCAAAACCCAGAGATGTTCGTATTTCAGTGCAAAATTTTTGCGTACGCTTTTAACCATTATTTTAACTATTATCACTAGAGACTTTTCACACCTTTTCAAAATGAGATTGTGAAAAACAGACTTTCTACTAACAAACTTTTAGAGTGGAAGAGCTTCATTAAAAATCTGAAAAACGATTCAATTATGATGGTGCCGGTAACGAAACGAATCGACTGTTTAACAGGGTTTACGTATGGGTTTCCTAACGTAATTGAGGTTGAAAAATGAGTATAATTTGGTGTCGTTCATATTCTTAATATTAACACGTATAATTACATCAGAACTGGGTAAATGACGTTGTGATATCGCAGTATTTTGGCCATAGATGCTAAAATCCATGATTTCACAGTATTTATCCACGTAATCCATCATACTACAGACATATCTTAAATGTTGTACAGGATAAGCACCTGTCTGCGACGATGAAAAAAGAGTTCAGAAGCAACCTGAAGTTCTGTATCTTCAAGTGTGTCTAAGCAGCAATCTTTACCTATGCTCAAGAGGACAGATACTGACAGGTATAACTGGCAAGTGCATTGCTTTCAAACAAGTGGCAGAAATAACACCTTTACGAAGGATTGCTGGGAACTCGGTAATCTGAAGTATCTTCGCTTTGAATCACTCCTTCTCCAGATCGAAAGTCCAAAATCACTGGTTTTAGCAAGTGATCACGATGCCAGAGGGAACTTACATGATCAACTATAGTCGAAGTGCCACATGGAAGAGAGCTAAAAGACAAATCGAAAAGAATATATCTCAACTAGATTGATAATTCAGTACTGCCTCAAAGGACCTTGGATTCCTGTCTGTAAACTTAACCGATCTGTGGAAGACGGGAAGCACTGATAAAATCTCCTCAAGCTGTTGCTCAGTCGATTCGACTGGAGCAATGGTAGTTGACACAAAGATGAATGCATTTCAACAAACGAATGAGTGAGTAAATGAAAAGATATGAACGCGTGAGATAACGAATAAATAATCTAGACACGTTAGAAAAACAGAAAAAGTCCACGATGAGACGGTTAAGTCTGCGTAGTACCGAGCGACGTGGTCGTCGAGCTAAGCACAAACAGTTCATTAGGGTATAGCAATTCTGTTTCCCTAACTTCAAAGAAACAAAATTTATACTTGCAAGCAAACACCTACGATTAATCAAGCTTACTCAGGAAGCTGTCTATTGGTTTCACAGCTAGCAACAAGAGAAACGAAAATATCTTCATTTACCAGTCATCAGTTATCATCAGAGCAGGTCTCTTTCAATGATCATTCATGAGACGGTATTAGAATCATTTTAAAAAGTTACTACTAACCAAAATGACAAAAAACGATGCAACAGTCCAATTTCTTAGAAAGCTCTTTGTCATTAAAAACATTCGGGTTTTCCGGAGTGTCTCAAAATGCTCAAAAAAAGGTTTTCTTTGTGAAAAACAAGAAGCAGTCACAAGATCTATGAGAGTAAGCGTTCATTAAAAATTACCGGTTAATGCCTGTCACTAAATAAACTAGAAATTTTTAGGCAGGATATTTAGAAATGGCTATAACGTTGAGAAGCTATAAACAGGTTAAACAAGCATAAAGATTGTATTCATACAAATGGCGTATTTAATGACTAAGTATAGTTCGAAACGTCGTCTATACAGGTAAAGTGTTTGTACGTAAAATGCATCTGTAGTTAACTTGCCAGTCAATATCTCAAACAGCTCACTAAATAATACTTATAACGACAACAGCAATGATACTTACAATAGCAATCACGGATTCTATTTTGAAGATAAGTTACAGTTAATGATTCACCGATTTGATACATTGTTTATGGACAATCTTATTGCCTTTAACCATGGAACGAAATCGGAGGACCATTAACTGTTATCCAAACAAGCAACGAATCGATACAACCTTCAACACCTATAAGATAAGGTGACCTCTGCCAATTTCGTTCTTCAAGGACAGAATACAATTTTTGTTTGGACACAAACGATTAGCAAGTTCCTTTGGAAACGAATTTTACAGTTTTTCAATCAGAAGTTTGTATTGACATAATCCTGATTCTTGTTAATTTTAAACTGGAGTGATGCTAGTAACGATATCCAGATTGTGTTAAGTCAATTTTTATATACGTAACAATTTTGACCATTGTAATTCTGCCGTTGTGCGTAGTTAAGTTCTACCATTACATGTATGTGAACAGTGTGCCTAGCTGATGACCATCTGGTGCATCTCCGAGTTGTTTATAGGGGAACGACCTTCAGGAATGGAGGATAGCTGCCGCAAATACGCAGTCCACGGGCAGGCAGCGGTGAAAACGACTAAGGCGTGACTGGTTTCAAATTTTACAGGTAACTTCCTTAGGAGAAAGTCCAATGCTCAATGACAGTCTCATGAAGAGGTGAAAGCTATCCGAACCTTTAAAAAAAAGGGTCACCAATTTCACCGATGCTATGCGGTTAGACATCGGTTCGTCGAAATTGGGAGGGAACAGCGTTGGCTATTTCTCTGCTAAAGAACAACTTTTACCCTTGAATCCGCATAAACAGCGAAACTCCGGTGATTAGCATGCGTAAATTCGGTTATACGTGACTGAGTATGTGTATACCTTCAGATTGACGATATCCGTCGGAGTGATACAACTTGGGTCGACAAGAGGCCTGGGGCGCTGGCGGCAGTTAGAGGAAATGAGTGTGCGCCACTGCAGCGGCACACCTATCCACTGGTCCCTGCCGACATCGTAGTTGACGTGCACCTGATGCCGGAAGTTCAAAGGAGCCGAGATTTGAGGTCGCTTCTTCTTTTTCAGCAGGAACATACGACTGTCGGCTACAGCAGCGTCTCCGCCACCCCCTTACGACGGTGATCGAATACGTATCACTACGATAGATGCAGCTAAAAGCGGAGGTCAACGTCAGGCTTCGTTGTCGCACATCGCACCGAGACGAGACCACGCTTCTTTCAACGCAGCGGTTGGAGTACAGCAAAGAGAACAAGTATGTCTCAAAAGCATCTCTGAATGACAAACGTTACGTCACTTGGATTAGAATTTCCCCTGATGACACGACAAACATACCTCCAATCACACCTGTAAATGACAATATCGATTGCTATGTTATTTTACAAGGCAATTGAACAATGTTTGGAATGTGGAATTAACCTGCTAATCCACAATGTACAGACATTTGCACCAACCGGTGCAATACAGAACTGCTGAAAAGGGGTGGAAGACCGTTCAAATAAAAAGGAACGTTTAAAACGAAAGATAAACAATAACAAAAAATTACTTATTCACCTTAAAGCTTTCAAGATCTTGGCGCGAAATTTTTTATGGCCGCCTACTGTCCATTGTCATGGTGATAAAGGAATACCGTGTACACATCAGAAACCTCTGCCGTGAACGAGCGTTTCTAATTTTCTGGCTCATCGACTACTTGAGAAAGTTCTTTTATTTTCATTAGCAAACAGGCGAATTTCACAAGTAACCAAGTCTCCAAAATTATCAGAGTTTTCTGCTCCTTAAGTTAAACCCTGGAACATATAATATTTTAGAAACAAATTTTCTAGAGGTTTCGTGGTTTTGTGTAAACCAAATTCGAAATTTTTCTGCTACGCACGAGACTTGTAAACCGGTACGTTAAAACCAAAAATTTTAATTTAATAGAAACATCGTATGTAATCAAAAGTTTTTCAGGGCATAGTCAAGAATACAAGTCATTGATTATGATATTACCAACATAATAATTGTAATAACAGTAAAAATCATTTCACATGGAACAATATCGGCTGCGTGCTCAAAGCGATTTACTGTACTATGAATAGTGTGTTGTGCTGAGTAAACCATTAAATGAATAATTTTGCCGCTGCAATTGATCAATTGAAAACGGTCATGATGACTCTTCAAATTTTCGTTTCTTACCGCAATATCAACATAATTTGCACCATGAATCCCATGATATTGCAGAGAGAAGTATTAATTCGACGGGTAAGAGGTTGCCTCGGTGTTCAAAGGTCCAGTTTCGAACTTCATGAGGGCAAACGTTTTTAGCGCATTAGAACCGCAACTGGCCCTGTAGCAACAATTCGATTTGAATAATCTAATTTCTAACTATGCAGCGTTTAAACTAATAAAAGGTAATTCCCACTGAACATCAATTTCAAGCCATTCCAATGAAGTGGTTCATTCTTGCGATGATGTTACATCGAAATATTATTTAATAAATATAGACTTAATACCAATCGTAGACAAGCGTATCGAAACTTAGCTTTGCTGATTAGGTCAGGTGAAAAGGAGACCCACAGAGTATATTGTAAGTGTAGCTCAGAGATAATCCTGCCAGAGAAGAAGGAAAGACGAAAGGAAAATTGGCGTGATGCCGTCAAGAACGACGTGAAAATGGGAAGTGTCATCGATGATTTAATCAAAGACCGATTAATGTGAAGACCGAAAAATCTGTATAGACATCTAGCTGCTCCGCACATCAGGTAAAAATATCATCACGATCATTTGAAAATCAGTTCTGCACAAAGTAAATATCAAACGAATGGAATTGACCGGTAGTCTATAATTGAGGCTGCTGCGTTTTTCGTTGAGTGTTCACACGTCGTTTGTATTTGCGCAACGTTCATGACTGATGCAGCTGGTTGTGCGGTTGAGTGACACTGCTTGACTTGACTCCATGGATGCACATTCTTCCCGCACGATCCGTTCCATCAACCCTAAAATACGGCATGCTTAAGGGTCTCACCATGTTATCCTACAACTAAATCGCTTACCATATTATAGAAAAACATCTTCGATGACAAATTTATGGTCTGACTCAATCTTCTTATTAATTTCCATTCTTGTTGTGCATGAGACAAACTCTTGTAGGATATATTTGAATGAGAGGGGTAAATACATAGACACCGCTTCAATTCGGTATCAAAAGAGACAGTGCCACTTATCTTAAGGCTTTTAGGCAACTGACAGTATTTAAGTCTACAGGTGTCCGAACAGGTCTTTTTTAAGCCATGCCTAGTGATGCAGTTCTGCATCCATGTACCGCAGGTACTCAGATACTATTGAGCCATAGCTTGCCTAAATAGCCCACCTAAGCGATTAGAAGTAAGGGGTCAGTGCCATCACACCGCTCCAATGCGGCGTCGAAAGAGAAAGTGTCTAAATCATAAATTGGTGATGCACCCTATGCATTATAAATCTAAACCAAGGAGAAATTCGAAGGCTGTCGATCAATGGGGTTTGAAATAGGTTAGATTCATCAGCGAGAGCTTATTTTTGAGTAATTCCAAATGCTTAAATCATCCTTACAGTGATCGAAAACTGTTTCTCGTTAATTGGTAGTTAAATTGTGTTTCTGTGTTTGATGGCTCAGCGATATCGATTTGTAATAGACTCAGAGTTTTAAATTTCTAGCCGTCATAAACTTGGAGGAAATTTGACTTTCGTAACTTCAGTTTTTCTACTAATGTAAAAAGCTACGGCTCGCTCCAGTTTGTACGAATAAACTTGAAAGAAGGTCAGTGGAGTAATGCTGTAATAATGCAGCTACGATGTATTCTAAAAATATTAGATAAATATTATCTATTTAGATCAGATCCGTGATACCCGACAAGTAAATCAACATTTCAAGCTTCATTCAAGTATAAATACTTTCTTTAACGAACATGGTATCACGTCATTGTTAATTAAAGTTTAATTAGAAACCAGTTTATGAAAAGCAATTGGACTCCCGTTAATTCAAATGAAACCGGATCTGTAAGCCAGTTCGGTAGTAAACGAAGGAACATTCAAAACGGTCAGAAGTGAAATTGGCAGTGAATGAAAGCATAGAACCTACCGCTAAAAAATTTTTCAGTTAAATGCGCTTTCAGGATAAGTCTACTATACTTTCGCCAGATGCTGACGATGACAAACAGAAGTGAACGCGAGAAATTGGCTTATAGGACGAAACGCATGTTTTTCAGCGTTGCAATGGCAATGAATGCATTTTAGGGAATCTGCACAGTCTCTTTGGGATATTCGAATGTGTCATTTTCAAAGTAAACTGTTTCACTTAAAAAGGGGTGCGTCTTACACAATGTCCTTACGGGAATCAGCGGACAAAAGTTGATAAACAGTTTACTGTTATTGCCTTTTACAGCAGGAGTGATGAGCATCCTCTAGCTGCGGGATTTCATTGAAAAATTTAACCTCGTTTTTTGAGAAATGAAGTTTGTATCTTCAGGATTTAAACATCCATGTACCTGAATTCTATTTAAAAATTGAGAAGATGCGGGTTGACATACTACATATCTCATGCGTTTCTCTCGAGTTTCACTTGAGTCAACGCGGAAACAATATTAACCAAGCCACATTTTTTTCTAAGAAATTTTAGGTTTAGAGACGTTGCCATTCAAATTCATTCTTTGGTTTCATTATAGGAAAGGTCCCACCGTGGCTGCTTTTCAACTTGCTTTCGAACAGAAGTTAAAGTGAAGAACGTCGAGGCATTTAGGACAATCGAAAGAGGATCATGAAAATATCTAACACATTAAAATCTGAGATACGCATATATCTCTGAATATATGAAGCCTCCAGTTTTTAAACGAAACAAAATAATATTAAATTATTAAAAGAACATCAAAAATTAATAAAACATCTCACAACTTCGATCTATAACAGACTGTCGCATCCACAGCATGTTCAGAACTGTATTTGCTCTCAATATGAAGGTGTCCATAAATGTTGGAATCAACATTTCTGTTGATCAAACGTGAGGTTACTTTAGTGGCAAATCAGGATTAGAGTTAATTAATTGCTTTCAGGCTTAGCGTAATAGGATCTACTATTAGTCGAAAAGAAATAATTTTTAACCAAAAAGTACTTATAGGTTTTTCGATAAAAGGATTCTTCTTTTTATTTCAGTTTATTTCTGAAACCGAAGAGAATAAAAAAGTTCATTTGAAAAGTTTAAATAAATTACCTTTCCCTCTAAAGACCGGGATTTTTCTAAGCAGAAAGTGACGGGAAAAACGCATATTAAAATGCTCCAATGTGGAGACAGCTATGTTGAAGTCACTGCATGGAAGAATATAACCAGTTACTGCAGAGCCAAGATACAGGAAACGAAAACGTTTGATAGTGTAGATTAGTAAAATAAAATTACCATTGCTTCCGATTTGTTAGTCAATAATTTTCACCATAACCTAAGGTTTGTCTTAATTTTTGATATCACTCTTCTCGCAGTTATCAAGCGTTGATGCTGCAACTCCTTCACCTTTTCGACGCTTTTCACTGTCAACTTTTTAACCAAGCCACGAAACTGATTCAGCTCAGGGACATCTTGCAAATTTAACGTAACTTGGCTTTGCCCTTTCCAATTAGTGATTCACCATCTTTAGTTACAGGGTTGTTTCAGTCTTTGCGGCAGATTGAGAGTTCTCGCACAATATTTGATTGCAATATTAATTAAGTGATAAAGAATGTAATTATAGTCGACTGAATCACGATTCTGTAACTGATCAGACATAATATGACTTTACTTGTTAACTCATCACGATCTACTTCGTTAGTAATCTCAATCTGTTATGGGTATCAGGCGTATTTGCACAGGTGTCTAAGAGATTTGTCTCGAAGTCCGAAGATACCCAGTTTGTTTACGTTCGAAGTCAATCTCTCTCTAATTCACGAATTCCATTGAGCAAAAAATTTGCGACATATTGCTTTAGACCCGGTTTGTACAGTACCGAGAGGCCCTGAGTTCATGTCCCGCTTGCGGTCACTCGCCTTTCATCTATCGGAGATTGATAACTGGTTACAAATCAGTGTGACAAACAGGAGACTGCACACACCACGCTTGCCACACAGCACTAATACTGTCTAGACACGTAGACTCTGCCTTAAAAGAGTATGACACTCTTGGCTAATGACAGAGAAACAAAGATCAGCATCACACCATGAAATTCATATAAAAAAGGGCGCCCAAAATAGCCTAATGATAAAAGTGAAGAAAAACCGACATCTAACGCTAAGTAGCCATATAATTGCAAATAACTATGTATTTCTGTAGGTGGTCTAGAAAAAGCAAAAGACAGCGATATCGCTGCCGGTGCCCCTACACTTCAGCAATTTACTGTACTCAAGCAAGACTGGTTTCAATTATAATTTTTGGAATGTAATATCATTTGATGATTTCGTTTGCAGCGATCGTCGTGTGAATGTGTTTGACATTTCTAACACTTAATTCTATATTTTAATAGGTACTTTTCTCTCCTTCGTAATAGAGCCCTCTTTTTTTATAGTAGTATGTATTGTGTTTGTTGAGCAGCTGTCGTAACTTCGTCGCCAAGTGGCGCATACTCATGCATGGTCTGTTTTTTAGTCTTACATGTGCAGATGGTAATATTGCGCAAAGACACGCGACGGCAACTGATTTTTGACGCTGTGCCTCTGTGAACTGTCAATCTTTAAGGCCCGTAAAGAGGTCACACGTAGGCAGTGTAAAGAAAAGATGCTCGGACGCCGTCGTCCTGCCTTTTGCCTTAGCTACTATTGTTGCTAATAGAGTTATTTAGGCAGCTAACAGCCGAAACCATGTTCTCTTGGATGAAGAGCGATTCGGCGCTGCGCAAGGAGCCGGAGGTGTATGCCAGTGTGACGGACGGTCTGAAGAAAGTCTATAAACAGAAGCTGCTGCCGCTCGAGGAGTACTACAAGTTCCACGAGTTCCACTCACCTTCCCTCGATGACCCTGACTTCGACGCCAAGCCGATGATCCTACTTGTCGGTCAGTACTCGACCGGAAAAACTTCCTTCATCCGCTACCTGCTCGAGTCGGACTTCCCAGGCATGCGCATCGGCCCCGAGCCCACCACCGACCGTTTCATCGCCGTCATGTATGGCGAACAGGAGGCAGTCATCCCAGGTACTACTTCAGTTCTCAATCGTCAGGTTTCATTGCTCGTATAGTCCCCTCCTTTCGCTTCATTGTTTCTATGGTTTTCTAACTCACAGTAGTCGTTGTTTTCTTGCAGAGTAAAATTGTCAGGCTCGGAGAAACTTCGACCCTCTTCCATTCTTGAAAACATTAAATATATAATGTCATATGCCAGAATATGTGAATAAGCGCATAATTCTTATGGAACTCGATTTTACTATGTAAACTGCCTTATTGTACATCCAGGTTTTCTGAGTTATATGTACCTCACTCATGGTATCTGAGCACCGGCTCAATTTTCAGATATGATGATTCACGTACCAATTTCCTCTGGTACCTTCGTAAACCACGACACAACATCAAAATATTGGTTCAAAAGCCGAAACATGTTCATATGCATTGTTGCTGTTGTTTCGTCATCATCTGAGTCTAACCGAGTCTAAACAACAGATTAATCGACATTTATGACTTCTGACCGTTAGAAATGATACTTCCCAAAAGTACGTGTATCCCCCAAAGTTCCCGTCATATTCCTGGTCACATGCAGTTTTGCCTCATCCAGGTGTTTTTTGATTTTGCATTGTCCTCCAACATGTCTGCCTCAGGTCGACAGGTCCCAAGCAAAACAGCTTTCCAAAACATTTCCATCCTGTTTTACGGCCGTTTGGTCACATCAAACCAGACAGTGATTTCTGAGCGTGTTTGTTAGTTGCCTCAGAGCGTAGGTCGTCATCCTACTACATTGTGCTCCGGTGGTACTGCCGCTGCACTTTGAGTATACTTCGTGGGCAGCGTTTTGTCTAGACAATGTTAATAACATTTCAAGACAGCAGCTGTTTCCAGACGGTACAGTGCACCGCGAAAACGACCTTTTTCAGCATGATGAACTTCGATGCGTATGATTCCTCCAGTATTCCACTTTACAGCATATGGCACTATTCCTTTGCACCCGGGCGCCTAAGGCATCGCGTAATTGTGCTCTAGTTCCATAGCTTTTGAGAACCTGCAGCACAGGTATCCGTTTTGTTTCATTTCCTGGTTGCTCCACTAGGACCTTGCTCATTATGATATTTCAGTAGTTGGAGTTCGTTCGTTCGTGCTTTGGCGATCATACTGAAAGCAGCATACAGACACGGTTTATTTATACTTAACGCAAACAAGCACCTGTCTATCAGTTATCCGACTGACTATTTATTTTGCGTTGTGTAAAAACAGGTTTTTATGCTGTTTTCAGGAGTCGTTGTTCCGTATATGCTTTCAAAAAGCCAGGAGCTTGAGCTGACGTTCGTTTTTGTGCGCAATGCTTTGTCGATGAACTCTATAAAACTGTATAAAATGGGACGTCGTCCGTTTGCTTCTGGACGCCTGTAGTCATTCACACCGGCAACGGCTCCATCAGCTTTGAGCATATGAAGTTCCTACTTATGTATGTTTATGTTTTTTATGTTTTGAGTATGCATACAGTTCACCACAAAACATCTTATACACATCCAACCTTGAGGGCGAAATGCCCGTTTTGCAGAAGCTGAAGAAAAAGAAACATGGCGGGATAATCGCAAACCAGGCCTTATCATGGTCGGATACATCAGTTTGAGTTTCGGACGTGCGCTAGTTTCCGTGGTCACTTCAATTCAGCTGACTGACTCTCAAAACATAACTTGGCTCGCCTGTTTTTGATATCATTTTGATGCCTTGTCATTAATCTTTTATATTTTACACCTTGGTTTGCACCATCTACCGTTACTTTACAGCCATAGTGAATAACGATGTATGCATATACAGGGTTTTATGGTAATGCTGCATTCCCTTGCTTCTAAACGTCTAGGCGGACCATTTAAGCAGGTCATGGCATTCGAGTATTGGCAGTGCATGGTTGCAACACGGAATAACTGAGTAGGGTGCGAAACAGGCACGTTCACACGCAAACCAGGGCTTGTGGCTTAAACTTCATACATACATACTCGACATACCGTGGGACGGTGGGGGGGGG